AAGGCTATTTCTACATTTATTCCATGCCTTAATAAAATTATTATATTCATGATGTAGTTTGCCTTTTAAATTTTTTTCAAGATTTCTACGCATATGCCAAATACAATGATTATGCTTTGTATTTGGTAAAACTTCATTAACTGCTGCATTCATACCAGAATCAGCATCTGTATATAATACTTTCGGTGCAAGATCACCAGTAGCACGTAATAGACAATTAAGTATCCATTGATATGATTCTTTTGTTTCATCTAAAATAATAGCTGTTGCAGCTAATCTAGAATGCCCATGATTATCTACAATTATTGTAAGAAATAAATACATTTGGTATTTATTGGTATTTGAAGTGTTATCATTAATTGCAACATCATGGAATTTTTTCTATAGTTCAACTTGTGAGGGTCTCATCCAAACAAACCTGTAAGATGGTTGTCTTCACCTTCTAATTGTGCCTCAACAAACCAGCCAGTCTCTTCACACTGCAATTTCATTAACCTTTCATATGTTTCAGAAGCATCGGTTTTAATTAAATATTCATTACGTTTAAAAAGTTGAATTGCATTATATACATTTTTGGAATATATTATTGTATCAGGAAAATGTTTTTGGAGCCCACGAATTATCATACTAGCTTCACAGCCAATATTTACAAGAAATTCGACTTCGTTAAGCATTTCAGGGCTGAGACGACGATGTTTTGATGAAACATCTTGTATTTTCTTATATAATGAATGATTATGCACTTTATTCAATAAAGTGACATGTACAGTGCCACCAGATAAATTAAGGTTGACTCTCCAAGAACAATTCACCTTTGCACTTTTACATTCGCAAACATCTTCATTATCAGCCTTTTTTTTTGCTTTATATTTACCAGAAGTCTTGCATTCAAATGTATGACATACAATTTCATCATGCTTATTTTTTTCAAGATGACGTTTAACCAGATCAAATCCAACTTTCATCGCATAGTTCTGAACTTGTCTTTCAGCAGCATCCCAATTCATAAATTCATCTCCCACTTTAAGTCC